AAAGAGTGTCTTCGACTGTGAAACACCTTCTACATATCATACATTTTTCCTTGAATTACACGCAGTAAGTTATTGATTCTATCTAAAATTCCTCTTTTCATGAAATGCAGAATCAGCATTTTATATTTATTGTTGAACAAAGATGCTAAATCGAACGTACTATAGATCTCATTATTAATTATTATGAAATAATTTTAATTAAATCGCCAACATAGATCGGCCATAATAAGGACTTATTAACATTATTATTGTGCTGTTGTATTATTATGCTTGTTAATTACAATTCGTGTTGGGCTTCGACATTCAAAGTTTTGAATATTCAAAGTATTCAATACCGCAAATTATATTCAATTTTTTATATATAAATATTTTCAATAAAAGCTTATGAGGGGATTAATTAAATTTTCAAATTCAAGTATAATCTATTCTTATATAAAAGTTAAGAAAAAGGAAATTTATCCATTTATGAATAAATAACATGCATAATGATATAAATTCTTTCTCAAAGAGTTTGATATTTAAAAAATTATATTAATATTAGTACTTTATTATTAATTTTATTATTTTTAAATTTAATTTTTGTTTTCCATTTCTGGTTTTCTTAAAAAAATCTGTCTTTTGATTATATAATATTTTTTTAATTAATTACATATTGAAAATTTTTACAAAAAACCATAACAAGTTTATTTTACTGTTGCATTTTACTAAAAATTTATATTTATGTTTTAACATAATTTTGATGATAATGAAAATATTTACATGAAAAAATAAAAAGTCTCTCATTTTTATTATGAATGGCTGTAATTCATATTATTATATTAAAGGTCAATAATAACAATTAAATAATTTTATTATTATGATTTTAGAAAAGATTCGTATATTGAAAATTATAAAAAATGATAATTATATATAAAAGATATAAATAATTATAGTCCTAAAGCACTTGTAGTTTACAAAATAAAGTTAAATTACGATAAAATTATTTTACTTTTTTAAAATATATAACCATTTCATTTTATAGATAAATTATTTCAATAAATAAATTGTTTAAGATAACATGATTAATCATTATGTGATGATTATATGTTTATATGGGTAGTGATTTTTAAATTAAAAAGTTAGAAATGTTTCAAATCAACATATAAAAATAATTCTGTAATTATACCAATTACAGATACCAATACATAATCAAAATAATTATATTTTTATTAATACTAAAACATCTATAATCTTAGTAAATATTGAATCTTTTTGAATAGTGGATTACCATCCTAAAAACATAAATATACAATACATGAAGTATTATTAAAAATCACAACTGTATGTTATAGCTTTCAATAGAACAATTATAATATATATATGTGAATATCAGGACTAGGAACGTAAGCAATTATTTCAAAAATATTAGCTAGTTTTGTAATTGAAGACAAAAATATTCATAGTCCTCTGTTTTAACAAAGAGTTTAAAATTAATAAAGTAATTCAATAAGTTTAAATGAAAAAAGAATTTTTGAAAATCAGAAAAATTTGTAATGAGTTTATTGAGAAATAAATATGTATTAAAATTTTAACTTCAATATGATTACGATTCCTATTATAAACTGATTTTGAAAAATTAAATCTTGCACATTTAAAAGAATTTGGAATAAAAATAAAGTTTTATCATATGTTACAATAATGCATGTATGGAAATTTATAAAAAATTACTTTTTTTACTATATTTTGCAATAATACATTGTTATACTTTTAAACATAATTACTTGATGAATAATCTATATCTTATGTAAATTAATACAATTAAAATAAAATTTTTATTCCAACTTCTTTTCAATCGGTAATTTAATTCTTTTCTTATCGGTAGTATAAAATCATAATAAACAATTAAGTACAAGTGCAGTATAATTTTGCTATATAATTCAATAACCAAGTAACAATCTGTTATCTAGGTTAGTAAACAATTTCTGTAATACACAATTTTTTTATAATAAAAAGACGTATTATCAGAAAGTAAAATAGTGTAGACAGAGTAATGACTTATCTCCACTTTCCCACAAACCAATCTCCTTCTTTTTCCGGACCTTCTGTGATATCTGTTGATAAATACATGTCGGTCACTCGTATTCCCGTGTTCCGTTTGCGATATTACCATCACCGTTGTCATTATTTATTTATATTTGACACATGTCCCTGTCTTCATATACCATTAATAGAATTCAAAAAACTCAAAACTACGAATCAATCATCTCTATACTTTATATATTCGTTATTCTATAAATAGTAGAAAATTTATAAATGACGTAAATATAACTAAATTAATATTTGTATTCTTGTTTAGAATTTTAAATAAATATTACTTTTGGAAATGTTGTGACTTCTATATTTTTAATGATTACAAGAATTATTATTCTGAGAATGTTTTAATTAAGACAAAAAAAATTAATTTTGATTTAATTCAATGTAATTTAAAGGTTTCTTTGTATAAAATATACTAATCTAAACTAATCTAAAATATACTAATAAAGATACTTATCTTAAAATAAAACAAAGATTTTTTTGTAAATTGTCATTTGAACATACAGTCAAAGAATATATAGATTCATACAATTCATATATTTGCGAAAGAAGAAGTATCTATGAGTATGTTTCTGATAAAACTTGTGTTACAGATTGATCTGTAATTGAATTATTAAATTTGTAATTAAATTAAAAAAATTATGAAATTATGAAATTATGAAATTAATAATATTAATAAATTATTTTCAGAGATAATATAGTAAAAATTTAGATTAATATTTCTCGAATTAACTTTT